GGATACAGTGACTTGCACTCATGTTTCGGTTGACTGCATACCCAATGGAACCTTGGAGAAGGAATCTTGTAATTCAACAGAAAACGAGAGGAAATGGATCCGGCCTGATGCCGTCAGCAAGTGTACCTGGGAGCTTGGAAAATCTCCTTCTGAATCGCCCCATCACCATGCTACATTGTAAGTCAGCGGTTCTCAACCTGTGGGTCGCGACCCCATTTGGGGTCGATCGACCATTTCACGGGGGTCGCCAAGCAAGGCTGTCCACCATTTTTTTCCCCTTTTCCAGCGGGTGCCTTCCCTCCCTTGAGATGGGCCAGCTGGTGGTCGGCCTGCTCCGTCTCTGCCGCTTGCCAGCTACGCCTCGGCCAGCGCAGGGGGCGGAACCACGCATGCGCGGCGCTCCCGGGCAGGAAAAGTCCTTGACTTACGACCGGTTGGGTAGTCCTCGACTTACGACCGGTTTAGTCCTCGACTTACGACCGGTTTAGTCCTCGACTTACAACCGGTTTAGTCCTCGACTTACGACCAGTTGGGGGGTCACGGCATTAAAAAGGTTGAGAACCACTGTTGTAAGTGGTCGTTCAGTCAATAGACGGGTGGAGGCAGGTGGCTTTTTGGAAGGTGGCTTTTATTGTAAGTCCGCTATTCAGTTTGATCCATTCTGATGTTAGTTGGGGATAATGAACTTAGGATTGTTCTCCAATAATATTGTATATCTCTTTCTGCTGTAGAACAAAGACCCCAAAAATTATGTCAGATATCCTCAAAAAAATTGGAGACACTCCCATGGTGCATATCAACAAGATTGGAAAGCTCTGTGGCCTCAAATGTGAACTCTGTGAGTATTTTTATAGTGATGATTACTTGGAATTGTAAACATAAACATTCTTAACATCAGTATTATCAGTAAGGGAGCCCTGAATTTAAAAGGACCAAATCAGTCAGGAATTTAGTAGACTTTGTGATTTTCTGTTATTTCTGAACTAGGAGGCTATTTATGATATTATCATGCTTTAAGTGCAGCAGATGGAAACTGACCTAGTCACCTGATTCTCCACTCTGCATATTGCTAGTGAGGCTTAAAACCCTAAATCATATAAGAACAATTTAAGACATTGCATGAGGTGCGTGTTGGATAGAAGGAAAACCTGGGAAAGAAGAAAGAGAAATAATGCCTTGGTAATACCACATTTGGAATACTGCATCCAGTTTTGGTCACCACAATGTAAAAAAGATGTTGAGACTCTAGAAAGAGTACAGAGAAAAACAGCAAAGATGATTAGGGGACTAGAAGCTAAAACATAAAGAACGGTTGCTGAAATTGGGCATGTCTAGTTTAATGAAAAGAAGGACTAGGGATGACATGATAGCATTGTTCCAATATCTCGTTGGTTGCCCCAAGGAAGAGGGAGTCAAGCTATTTTCCAAAGCACCTGAAGGCAGGACAAGAAGCAACGGATGGAAACTAATCAAGGAGAGAAGCAACCTAGAACTAAAGAGAAATTTCCTGACTATTAGAACAATTAATCAGTAAAACAACCTGCCTCCAAAAGTTGTGAATTCTCCAACACTGGAAGTTTTTAAGAAGAGATTGGACAGCCATTTGTCTGAAATGGTATAGGGCTTCCTGCCTGAGCAGGGGGTTGGACTAGAAGACCTCCAAGGTCCCTTCCAACTTTGTTATCCTGTTCTCAGTTTTTCAGAATGAAAATAGTTATGTATATGTCTGGCTTGGGGTCTGAGCTTATAGAAGAGGATTGTCAGACTATGTAGTTGCTTATGGAAGGTACAGGATATTGGGCTAATCCAAATCCAACTTCAGAATTGATTCATCAGAGGCTATTGTTTAGTCCAGTATTCAGTTAGGATATGCATAGGATATGCATGCATATCTATGTACATTAGATATCTGTGCAGATGTTCGGGTATGTCTTTTCTTAGAATATGGATAGATGAAATGGCATTTGCCAAATCCCTTGCAGAAGGTTGATGGGCTTCTTTTTCTTGGTTCTTCGGAAACAAATCCTACTTTAATTGTGGTATTCAGTGGCCAAATGCGAGTTTTTCAATGCTGGAGGAAGTGTGAAAGACCGAATCAGTTTACGAATGGTGGAAGATGCTGAAAGAGATGGGATTCTGAAGCCAGGAGATACCATTATTGAACCAACTTCAGGAAATACAGGTAAATACATCCATTTGATCTGTGGTATAAAGAAGTGAGTGGAATGGGATGCATTTTTCTGAATAGGGTCATTCTCCTGCCCCTGGCCTCGTCAAAAAATAAGACTAATTTTTAAAAATGTAAGGAAGTGACTGGAATACTGAAGTATTAAAAATGAATAATGCAAGTCTCCGTTCTAACAGAACTGAATACTAAACACCGTTGTATCAAGTTTTACAAATACTCAGGAGGGGAATAATTGTTTTGCTTATCAGTTTTTAAACACTATACATTTCCAGTCTGCTAGATGATTAATGATTTGACTGAGCAAGTCAAACCATCCATTTGCGAAGGAACGGGGGAATGTTAAAGTGGTGCATACACAGTTTAGGATTATCATCCCATTTAGCCATGTAGGTAGATCAAGAAAAAAAACATACGGATAGGTGGAAGGGTATGGAAAGTCTGCCTTATAGCTCAGCTGTCTCTTTCTATTTTTAGCATTATGGGACCTAGCTGGTTCATAATGGCAGGACATAAAGCAGCTCTGGAATAGAGGCTCTCAGGTCGTATGTTTGGCAGCATTATCATACCTTGTTAGGATGGTGATTTTATTCATTAGTCTTTCTCCCTAACATACAACTGGGAACAGGTAGAGTGATATCTTTCCAGAGGTTTTGTACCACATATCCCATTAGTATCAGCCAGAAGGATTAACAGGGAGTCTGGGAAATATATGGAGGATACTAGATGGTTTATTCTTGGCATACACAGTACTGAGCTAGATCAATCAATAGTTGTTTGGTTTAAGCTTATTGCCTGGGTTAGGCTAGCTGCCTATATTTAAGTATAGAGTTTCAGAATATAAAACAAATGTATGGCTTTTTTTAGTGACATTTTTCTTGGTTGCAGGAATTGGACTGGCCTTGGCAGCTGCAGTGAAAGGATACCGTTGTATCATTGTAATGCCAGAGAAAATGAGCATGGAAAAGGTCAGAGCTGTTTATCACTGAGTGATCAACACATGGCTGCATTAGTTTACTGAGGCACCCTAAGTCAGCAGTGCTGTGTGTGAGAAAGCTTGACTCAGCTTGCCATCTTAACATTTAATAAGGTTTTGCTTGAGTTTTGTTAATGGAGCTAAAATATCCGATCTGACATTTGGTTTTGAATTGGCTCCAAGCCTGTAACCATTTAATATTCCAGTTGCATAAGCTTTCCCTGTGCACAGGCATAGACATTATGGCTAATTTTGATGGTTTTTCTCCAATAGGTGGATGTGCTACGTGCCCTTGGGGCTGAAATTGTGAGGACTCCAACAACTGCCAGATTTGATTCTCCAGAATCACATGTTGGAGTGGCATGGAGATTGAAAAATGAAATCCCCAACTCCCATATTCTGGATCAGGTAAATTATTGAACATGAAAAATGGCTTCACCATGGAGAATAGCTTTTTTTAAAATGTATTCATGCACTGCCAATATAAAGCAGAAAAAAATGCTCATATATTAAGAAATAGAATTAGAGGAAAAGGCACCTATCTTACAGGGAGCAGGTAGTTTATTGTCTGAACTTGGATGGTGGAAACATGCTATCTTCTACTATCCATTGATTCTTTGTGTCTCTCCCTGCAGATCATCGTAGGCCAATCATTGCTTAGATCGTAACAAATTAATAGGGGTGAAACTGGTTGCTATTCACTTGTTCGACTGGTTTCAAGTGAACTTTTGTGCAACCTCTTTCTCTCAGATGGACTTTCTTTGTAGGATTTTAGCTATTAAAAAGGAGACACTCTTGGCAGATAAGAATCAGCAGAATAAGTAATCTTTTTTCCAATATAATACAACAATGCAGATATAAGGGGAGAGGAGGGAAGAGAAAAAAGGGAGGGAGCGAGGAAGGAAGGAAGGAAGTTTGTGCTCTTGATAGTTGAGTTTAGAATGGTTTTCTTTTGATATTTAGTAAATTAATGTTAAAAGCATTACTTTATTTTCTTGTTTTCTGATGCACTGGTTTTCAATTTTTCCACCAGGAGGTTAATATAAATAATAAAGCTACAACAAAACATAAAAATAGCATTGATATAAAAAAAGCCAAAGGAAATAAAACAAGTCGAGCCATTTAAAATTCACTGGGGGGGGGTTGTCTGTGTGTGTCTATGTGGTATATCTTGCATCTGCATTATTTCTGAATCATATCTGCATTGCTACTGAGCTGGTCAACCTGTTTGTTGATCCTACATTTTCTCCTCTCTCTCTCTTTCTCTCTCTCTTTTTTTTTTACATAGTACCGCAATGCCAGCAACCCCTTGTCGCATTATGACACAACAGCAGAGGAGATTCTTCAGCAGTGTGAAGGTACATTTTATGCTTTACAAACACTTCTGTCCTAGAAATGGGAGCTTCTGGGAAATGGAAGCTACGTTGGGAGAGATGGATTAATACGAACACGAGAGCGTTCAGTCCAACAGACAACTTACTTTGGCAAATAATTTGTGGGACTCGTCCAGTGGCCAGGTTACTTCCACACACAACTTATTTTAAGAGGTGGAATGAATAAAGATGTAAAAAGAATGCACAAATCTTAGATCTGGACAATTGTCGAAATTCCTAGATTGTTTAAAACAGATTTAAGAACCATAGATTTTCCAAGGTAGAATATGTTCTGCAATCACAATAGCCCAAACCTGCAAAATAGTTGTCTAAAGCCTGTACTGTAAATTACCTGTACTATGTGTGTGTGTGTACACACACATCTGTATAAGTCAACATAAATCTATATCAAAGCAGCTTCTTGCTAACCCTACACACACATACACAATCCACAAATCAAAGTTTTATCATCTTCCTTTCTCTGCTAAATGTTATGAGTTTATCATGAACAGAGGGCTTTCTTAAACCTCAACTAGCCTTTTGGGGCAATATTCAGTTGAGTACCTGTATAGCTGTGCTTTGAACCTCAGACTGAGTACTCCCATGGTACAGGTGACATTTTTCTATAACTGGCAGCCTTTGTTTACGATCTTGCTTTGGGGCAAAGAGGAAGGCTGTTGCCTGAGATTCCCATATTGGCATGGCCAATAGACTGGATTGGTTCTGTGGGTGGAGATGCCCCATTCATGCTACAGCTTTTGGGGCCAGGAGATCTTTCCATTCTTGCCTCATTTATTCTTAAAGTAGTACTTGTGGGCAGCAGGTTCAGTTGAAGCCTACTTAATGAGATAGTTGCAACAAGTGTACATGCCAACCATATGTACAGAAGATGTATCTATGATACCCCTATTGCATGATCCAGACTGAAGAGATGGCAGAATACCAAAGAGTACTGAAGAAGCTTTATAGCTCAACAAGAATTTGGATTTGGTTTACACGAGATACTAAACCCCTTATTATAGCTTGGTATGTTGTATGAAACAGGAGCCTGAGTTTCTCATAGGCAGTGGCCAATTTAGAAAATACATCAGGCATTTTCTTTAAACATTACTAAAAACAGTGTGAGGACATGGGTTGGGGAAGCCATGCGTATCTTGAAATATGTGACTTTGGGGTGGTGTGTGTGTGTGTAGGCTCAGTATGTTTTGGAAAAATAATCCAGTTACAGCTGTTACTCACTTAGTCACTATCTTGGTTAGTGACCGTTCGCAAGTCAACAATAATAAACAGTAATAAAAAATTAAGTTCCCAGCCAATGCCTGCATTTACCACCAAATTTGCAGTGTCTACACCGGTACTTGTGGTTGCCAAATGAAGAGAGGATATGTTAATTCTGTTACTAACCGGAAACCAGCAGAGGGAGCTCCTACACAATAAGTCCTATTTTGCTTCTATGTAAGACAGAGCAGAACAGTGCTTTGAAAATAAGTCAGAAGAAGCACTTTGAACCTTACACAGGTGCCCAGACACTTTTTTCAGGTTTCCATGTGAGCCTGAAAGAAGGTGTTGCTTTTTTAAAACTTGTCCTAGTGTTATTGAATGAATTCCTTAAGCAGCAGCATCTGTTTTCTCTGAGTCACTCAGCTTGAAAAATATCGGGCTCCTTTCATGACCAGCAGAAGGTTCTGCCTTCATGCATGGTCCAAAGCGCTTCTTCAAAATAAATTTTAAAGTGTGTCCACCTCTAATGTGAAGCAATTCTTAGATTATTTAAGGGAAGCCGCATCTAGAATACTAATCTTAATTTTAGTACTTTAGGTATTGGGGAAATTGTTTTAAACTTCATGTTGCAGTTTAAATTAAATAAGATGCATGGAGATGTTTAATAGATGAAAGGAGAGAGACTCAAGTGTCTTTGAACAAATCCAAAATAAGGTTAGACGTGTCAGGGAAATGAGATACTGTAAATACAAGCTTCTTTTGCAAAAGAAATCGACCAAGAAATTAGAAGATGGATCTTTGCAACTTATGTTAGCGACTATAGGAACTTTCTAGTTGCAGCCTAAGAGTTTTGTAGCTAAAAGTGAAGAGTCTTATGGCACCTTAAAGATAACCTAATATATTATTGCATAAGCTTTTGTGATCATTATTCCATGAGATGCAGAGAATGCAGTCCTTGGAAAGGAATATTATACATCCCCTAAGCTGTTGCTGGACAGGAGGAGAGAAAAGAAAGAAATCATATGAGGAGAGGGTAGAGTTTTGAGTAGGCGAAACGTTCATTTTTGCATTTACAAGCTGATGATAAAATGCGATGCAATAAAGACGGACTGCTGTATCAATCAATGTTAATATAATTGCCACAATTNGGATACAGTGACTTGCACTCATGTTTCGGTTGACTGCATACCCAATGGAACCTTGGAGAAGGAATCTTGTAATTCAACAGAAAACGAGAGGAAATGGATCCGGCCTGATGCCGTCAGCAAGTGTACCTGGGAGCTTGGAAAATCTCCTTCTGAATCGCCCCATCACCATGCTACATTGTAAGTCAGCGGTTCTCAACCTATGGGTCGCGACCCCATTTGGGGTCGATCGACCATTTCACGGGGGTCACCAAGCAAGGCTGTCCGCCATTTTTTTTCTCCTTTTCCGGTGGGTGCCTTACCTCTCTTGAGCTGGGCCAGCTGGTGGTCGGCCTGCTCCATCTCTGCTGCTTGCCAGCTACGCCTCGGCCGGCGCAGGGGACGGAACCACGCATGCGTGGCGCTCCCGGGCAGGAAAAGTCCTCGACTTACGACCGGTTGGGTAGTCCTTGACTTACGACCGGTTTAGTCCTCGACTTACGACCGGTTTAGTCCTCGACTTATGACTGGTTTAGTCCTCGACTTATGACCGGTTTAGTCCTCGACTTACGACCGGTTGGGGGGTCGCGGCATTAAAAAGGTTGAGAACCACTGTTGTAAGTGGTCGTTTAGTCAATAGACGGGTGGAGGCAGATGGCTTTTTGGAAGGTGGCTTTTATTGTAAGTCAGCTATTCAGTTTGATCTATTCTGATGTTAGTTGGGGATAATGAACTTAGGATTGTTCTCCAATAATATTGTATATCTCTTTCTGCTGTAGAACAAAGACGCCAAAAATTATGTCAGATATCCTCAAAAAAATTGGAGACACTCCCATGGTGCATATCAACAAGATTGGAAAGCTCTGTGGCCTCAAATGTGAACTCTGTGAGTATTTTTATAGTGATGATTACTTGGAATTGTAAACATAAACATTTGCATTCTTAACATCAGTATTATCAGTAAGGGAGCCCTTAATTTAAAAGGACCAAATCAGTCAGGAATTTAGTAGACTTTGTGATTTTCTGTTATTTCTGAACTAGGAGGCTATTTATGATATTATCATGCTTTAAGTGCAGCAGATGGAAACTGACCTACAGTCACTTGATTCTCCAGTCTGCGTATTGCTAGTGAGGCTTAAAACCCTAAATCATTTTAGAACAATTTAAGACATTGCATAAGATGTGTGTTGGATAGAAGGAAAACTTGGGAAAGAAGAAAGAGAAATAATGCCTTGGTAATACCACATTTGGAATACTGCATCCAGTTTTGGTCGCCACAATGTAAAAAAGATGTTGAGACTCTAGAAAGAGTACAGAGAAAAACAGCAAAGATGATTAGGGGACTAGAAGCTAAAACATAAAGAACGGTTGCTGAAATTGGGCATGTCTAGTTTAATGAAAAGAAGGACTAGGGATGACATGATAGCATTGTTCCAATATCTCGTTGGTTGCCACAAAGAAGAGAGAGTCAAGCTATTTTCCAAAGCATCTGAAGGCAGGACGAGAAGCAATGGGTGGAAACTAATCAAGGAGAGAAGCAACCTAGAACTAAAGAGAAATTTCCTGACTATTAGAACAATTAATCAGTAAAACAACCTGTCTCCAGAAGTTGTGAATTCTCCAACACTGGAAGTTTTTAAGAAGAGATTGGACAGCCATTTGTCTGAAATGGTATAGGGCTTCCTGCCTGAGCAGGGGGTTGGACTAGAAGACCTCCAAGGTCCCTTCCAATTTTGTTATCCTGTTCTCAGTTTTTCAGAATGAAAATAGTTATGTATATATCTGACTTGGGGTCTGAGCTTATAGAAGAGGGTTGTCAGACTATGTAGTTGCTTATGGAAGGTACAGGATATTGGGCTAATCCAAATCCAGCTTCAGAATTGATTCATCAGAGGCTATTGTTTAGTCCAGTATTCAGTTAGGATATGCATAGGATATGCATGCATATCTATGTACATGTAGATATCTGTGCAGATGTTCGGGTATATCTTTTCTTAGAATATGGATAGATGAAATGGCATTTGCCAAATCCCTTGCAGAAGGTTGATGGGCTTCTTTTTCTTGGTTCATCGGAAACAAATCCTACTTTGTGGTATTCAGTGGCCAAATGCGAGTTTTTCAATGCTGGAGGAAGTGTGAAAGACCGAATCAGTTTACGAATGGTGGAAGATGCTGAAAGAGATGGGATTCTGAAGCCAGGAGATACCATTATTGAACCAACTTCAGGAAATACAGGTAAATACATCCATTTGATCTGTGGTATAAAGAAGTGAGTGGAATGGGATGCACTTTTCTGAATAGGGTCATTCTCCTGCTCCTGGCCTCGTCAAAAAATAAGACTAATTTTTAAAAATGGAAGGAAGTGACTGGAATACTGAAGTATTAAAAATGAATAATGCAAGTCTCCGTTCTAACAGAACTGAATACTAAACACCGTTGTATCAAGTTTTACAAATACTCAGGAGGGGAATAATTGTTTCGCTTATCAGTTTTTAAACACTATACATTTCCAGTCTGCTAGATGATTAATGATTTGACTGAGCAAGTCAAACCATCCATTTGCGAAGGAATGGGGGAATGTTAAAGTGGTGCATACACAGTTTGGGATTATCATCCCATTTAGCCATGTAGGTAGATCAAGAAAAAAAAACATACGGATAGGTGGAAGGGTATGG